TCGTTTGTCTATTACATACTTACTATTTTCATGTAACTTTTTTTTTATAAATATGTAAATGTAAATTAATTCAATAAATAATTTTTATTTAAAATTTACATTGATTGTTTTCTTTCAGAATGGGGTAAAATGTATGGTTTAAAATGTATATAGACTGTACATTTCGTTACAAGAAAATACATAGTTTCAAAGACAATAGTTTCTGTTTGCAGTTTGTAAAAGGTTGCAATCTTTTGAATGTGTTCTAAGAAACGCTCTTCGCATATTGAAGTTTTGTAAGATCAGACAAATGAAACTGTGTTTCTTTTGTTTTCGGTCTATCCATTCGAGCACACGTCAGAAACAGTTGCCATAGAAATTTTTGGAGAAACAAAACGAAGAGGCGTAGGCAAAACAACGAACATCCGTATTATGAGTTTGGTGGGGGTGTAGGAGGAGGAGAAGCTACATGACGCAACAATTAATTACACTCCGGGTACATCCATTTCGCATTTCCGTACACGCGTGTATCTCTCACATCTACTAAATTAATACCGCATTATTCGCAGTAATTGGGTCCTCATCATCATCATCGCAGCAATAATATTCATATTAGTAATAATAATAATAATAATGAGTTTGAATCGAAGGTAAAATTACATGTTTGAAGGTCGGAAATGAGTCGTGTCGTGGGGCAATGAGAGCAGAGTTTATAAATTTTTTTCATCTTCCTGCGAAGCTCCCCCATCGTTTCGTAATGGCGATTGGTTTCGATCCGTCCGTCATTTATTTCTGCTGAGGCAAAGCCACCCTCGTCGAGTCCCATTAAAACTCCGATCAAATATTAAAAAGGAAATCCGTCATCCGTCGGTTATTAATTGCTCTTCAAAATACTAATCAACTGCGCGATGAATTCACGTGAAAATCACCAAACTAATAACATATTGCATTGGTACACCTGACAACTCTAGTGTTATGTTGTTTTGTTAGACTTACCAAGAAAGATATCCTCATCTTCTTGGACGGCGTTAGCGGTGATGGCTGCCATGCCCTGCAGGAGAGCGAGAAGGGACGAGTAAGGGCTACGGTTGTCCGACAGGCTCAAGTGCAGACCTAGGGGTGCTCTGTGGAACTCGCCACACAACATCCCCGGGCAGGACAAGCATTACTTCACACCTACAACAACAACAACAACAACAAAAAAATTAGACAATTATTAGGACAAGCAAATAACAAAATAACCTCACCAAGTGTAGGATTATGCATTTAAGTTGGTACACTTGATGGCATTTCATGTGATTTGAATGAATAAAATATTTTTCATCAAATTTTAATAAAGAACGTATTATTAAAAAAAAAATATTACGATCGAGTATTTTGTGAAAAGAAAATGGGAGAAAAAGAACGAAATACAGAAAACTTTTGTCGTGGATTCAGATTTAATTCGATGGAGGGGAAAATAAGGGAGGGGCGAGAGATAAATAGAGAGATAACTGAAATAAGCTAACTTTTCTGTATACTAAATGGGATTACAAGTTCGCTATCCCTCCGACAGTTCTATTGACAAACAATGGGAGGGAGAAATGAAATAAGCCGCAAAACTTCGAACATAACATCAGAATTTACACGATTCCATTAATTTAATGTTTTGTTAAGTTTCAAATATTTTAAATCTTCAAATTGTTGATTTCCGGGAGTATTATGCAACAAGCGATGCAGGGAAGAGCAGTCGCGCACCCTGCGGACCGGATCGCAAGTTAATTAATTCCCTGTGCGCGGACAGACGGCGTATTTCGGCATCGAGCCGTGCGTGTCCTTCGTCCTTCCGTCTTTCATTTTTTTCTTTCTTTCTTTCTTTTCTTCTTTCGTTTCGTGTCGTTCTTTGCTCTTTTAATAATTTATATTGGCCAGCGACGATGACGAGTGGCGCCAGTCGTTATCACCGGCGACCATTAACTGTCGCCGACGGACGGATCAATCCAGGTGGAGGCGCCGGTAAGTCTGAGTTCGATCGTCACGCAACCATCACATCACGACCATAATAATACACGCGCGGCGCCACCACCACCACCATCGCCGCCGCCAACCCCCTACACCGCCACCCCACGCCGACGTCGGGGAATTTTCCGCCGTCGCTTTTGTGACCGGGACCTTTTATCCGGGCATGCCGTGATAACTTTCTTTATTATTATTATTTTCCACGGCTCGTTCAAATACCAAACCGCATGCCGCGGCCTTCGCGAAACAAATGTTAACATTCTCGTAAAAACCAAGGGGAAACATATATTTAATACATAGTAAAAAATCAACAAATTTTAATCGTTCCCGAATGCAACCCTTCCACCGTGCATAACAAGTTGCTCAACTAATTTAAGGCATCTTAAAGTTGGTATCAGTTTAGGAATTTCTTACCGTTGCCACCATTGCTATATGAAATTAATAATTTAAGAAAACTATTGTTAGTTCTTCATTTAAATTTAGTAATATTCACGTTGATAACAAGCAACATATATTGATTGATGTTTTAAGAGCATGGAACAATGATTACTTTACTAGGTCACATTTAATAGGGAATCCTTCTAGCGGAACTGAGGGGATGCACAGAACGGGACAATGATTTGAGAGGAGACCGGGATTATTCGCAGCCGCTGTTCGCAGATTAATTGCGATAAAGCGTGAGGTCGGTAATTTAATGAGGCTCTGCGACGAGAGGTTGGGGCGGTACGACGATATCCGCCTAGGGACGACGTAATAACGGGTCGGTGTAATCGTCGCAATCAAATATGAATTCGTCTCTTCTCTCGCCCTCTCATAACGAATATAGTTTCGGAGGTCGCAAAACCGGAAGTTAATGCACGTGCTAATCCGGTTGCTGCTTTTCCATTCGATTCCCATCTTGAAACCCTCGACGCGACTTAGGGGAGAGAGTACTTATAAATTTTCGATTTTATTTCGCCTGAATTATTGAGGATCCTTTGCGTGCGATGTGCGACGGTGTGGCGTCCTCTCTTTTAATAACTCACCTTCTTAGATTACTTGGCCCGAAGGGCGCATGGAATAAATGAAAAGGACGATACGGTCGAATTATTTATTCGCTTCTCGTTTACATCCATTATTAATACCGGAATGTCTCTTTTTTTCTTCTCTCCTTCTCACGAGCGCTCACTTCACTATCTTTTTTTCCTTTTCTCGCCCTTCCTTCAATATTTAACGACCTTTGATACACACGGGAATCCTCCAAATATCTTCAGTTCATATTACGTAAAAGTTATCCAAGTTATGTCACATATACTTTTACAATTTTATATAGTTTTATTTAATTTTCAGATACATGAATTATATAATTAATACCTATTTTGATGTATGCAACCGAAAATACAAATGCTTGTTGGTACTTCTATGCTCCGTGCGAATATTAATGTTACAAAGAAATTGTTGAGTCAGAAATCGGTTTTGTGGAAAAACCTCATATGCAGCAGAACTAATCACCATTTTTTCATTGAACTATAAATCCTCACGGTAAGACACGCGATTTACTTCTTTTTTTTTGTAGTTATTCCAGGATTCCATCGGTTTAACAAATCGCGCATTAATCGAATTCTTCGCAGGAATTGCGTTCTAAAAGCTTCACGCGAACCGAAATTGCTTTCCGGCCCGGAACCGGAAACGCCATCCATTTTAATTCGCCGGTCTAATCAGGTACATGCGTACGGGTCACGTCATGTGCTGACCTTTTACGGATACTTTTCTCTCTCTCTCTCTCTCTTCTTTTTCCGCCGTATCCCAACATATATTTTCATCGTGCATCTCGAACTCTTATTTTTTCTCTCTCTTCTTTTTCAATCCCATCCGGACGCAGGGCGACCGCAATCTCGCTTTTACGAGCGGAGCGGAAGGCCGGACGTAAAACTTTAATTCCATTAATTAAGTTATTACGTTTTCCCCTAAAGTAAACACACACACACATTAGGGTGATTTGTAAGGCGATTCATTTCCGTGCAGTTTACGTAATTCGGATCAATACTGGTTGCATACACTTCGATGCGACACCATGTGTTCGACGTTGGTACTCCGTTTGAGGAATAATGTACGTTTCATTTCGGTTCGATCCGGATGGAGAACTGTTGCTGGATTTATCGTTCGTAACTGCAGCTGTACGCCGATAAATTACAGCAGGAACAGCTGTTTCGAGATGCCGAGGAATTCCCCAGTCTTTTTTTTACACTGCGTTCGGTTTTGCTTCAAAGTTGATTGCCACAAAAAATGTATGATGTATTTCCCCAAGTGCGCTTTTCTTATTTTTTAATTAATATCTTAGTGCTTTCGCCGCGCAACATAAATCAATTCTTAATTTAAAATATAATAAAACGTCGTGATATATTCAAGTTAACCAGACAGATTGGTATTTCAGTAGGAAATTAATGTGTCAATTTACAAGATGTATAGACAACCAATCGTGCAAATACGGAAGTATACTCATAATGATGTAAAATTGGATAGTAAACGTATCACAAATTGATATAATCATCAAGTTTGTATCAATATTGGAAATATTGTATGTGTTCATGTTTCGAGGAATTAATAATAAATGCAATCTATTTACGTCGAAATTGATATTAGAATGTGAAAGAGGTCGGAATACAAATCTTTATTTTACGTTCGGCCGTTAGATGGAAGGCATTTTCTATTTCCTAATAATGTCACGTTCGGGTTTGTGGCAGAGATTACACATCCGAGCTATTGCCCACCCATGTTCTCTACTTTTTTTTTCCTATTCCATCCTTCTTACGTGTATCCTCCGTAATAGGGATCGAAACATTTATTTTTTTCCCTCCTTCAAATAAAATATGTGTGGCCATTCAATATACGTGTACAATATATTTTTGCTCGTCCGTTTTGGATACAATAACCGTCCGCTGCGTGAAATTTAATTCAATGGAAAGGTCGCAGAGCAAGCAGTGCGACGGATGCGCCGGGCCACCTTATCTGCGGCCGAAAATCTGGTTTGCGTAACAAACTGAAACGGACCGGAGTCTGCACGCGTTCCCATCGTAAAAGTCGGCCAGAATATTATATTTTATTGCGGATCTGTTGAATCCAATCACCCTTAAGGGATGACACAATCTTCGCACACACAACAATGCGTCGTCTTGGAAACGCTATCTCGCATGTAGAGCATTAAGTTTTATGCAGCCGCGGATGGATTACGATCTGGCTCCAAACAATTTTCGACGAATTATTACATTGTTCCATTTGATAAATCGAAAATAAAACAACGTTATATGATTCTAAATTAGTAATAATAGTTTTATTGTTATTGGTAACGAAAAAAATGAAACTTCCGGTGTAACCGGAAAATACTTATTTGTATGTCGATCAAAGTGAAATTGGTTTTGAATATTCATAATTTAAAGACAAATCGAAAAGTCTAATAAAGTTTTTCTCTAAAATTATATAGGGAATAAATTTAGGACGTTTTTGTAAGTTCTATAAATGGGCGAAAAGGGAGGACCCCGTGGCGTGTAAAATCAAAGGGAATTCCAAGTTGGCTCGGATGGACGAGGAAAGTTCGTCGGTTATATCTCT